ACTAGTCTGATCGAGTCCCTGTTTACCACGACACATTACCACAACACACTTGTCTGATCGAGTCCCTGTTTACTGCGACACACTTCCACAACACTCTAGTCTGATCGAGTCACTGTTTACCACGACATAATTCCACAACACTCTAGTCTGATAAAGTCCCTGTTTACTGCGACACACTACCGCAACACACTAGTCCCTGTTTACTGCGACACATTACCACAACACACTAATCTGACCTCGTCCCTGTTTACCGTAAAACTCTATTCTGATCGAGTCAGCTTGAAACATCTCAATAAACTACAATAGGTCACCATGTTCACCGTGAAACTCTGTGTCTCTCATCTGTATCACCGGGTAAAAAAACGGAAGTGACGGTATGCCAGAGAGGCTCGCTAATCATGAAAGGAAATTCCGACGGAACCCAAAAGAATTCTTACGCTTTCAAAACGACCTTTGTCTACGATTCTGTTGGTCGTTCCATGGGAATATCTGCTCTTTCTATTTACCCACCCAACAACGTTTTGACGATGACGATTCTAACCGCATAATAACCATGCTTGTCGTTCCTGGTGTTTATGTGATAAGGACTTTCCAGATTATGTTAGTGTGCTGTCGACTTTTCCCGGCTTCTAATTTTGCATCAGTAAAATAGTCACGATTGCGATTGTTCTCGTTTTTTCAAAAGTCAGCAACTATTCACTTATGGTTTAGAAATGACGTTTAAATACGTATCATGCAAACGATAGAAATGACAGACATGGTTATAATTCAGAATCGTCATCATCACTACGTTTGCTGGTATCTTAAGGTAAGCTTCGTCATAAAACCGCAAAGATCTGTTGGGAAAGAGTTTTGCAAAATATCTCGGTATTTTATTACTATTATTATTGGGGAAATCCATTTTTGTATTGTGTGTACTTGAACATTCTCTCGAGGGTGTTGGGATAGTATCTCTTTCCATCTTTTCGAGATTTACTCGTTCCTTTCGTTCATACCCTTTGACTGTGTACACCCTGTGACATTTCATTACAAAATTGAAGGCACAATCTAAGAAATCTGATAAGGCTACAGCGAGTTTTAGAAGAAAAATAACTGACCAATCACAGACTGATACGCTCCTTTGGATATAATTATGGAGTGAACCCAACTTCAAATATTGTACAACATACCGTAATGGGACTTGAAATTCGTTTGACGTACATCAAAGAATCACACTATTCTTTCAATTTAACCACAAGGTGTCGCACGTGAAACCTTCGATTTCCTCATGAAAAGTTCCAGGGGTGTAGAGAACGAAAGTGATCGTAACCCTGGAGTATCGAGGATGTGGGAGCATCCACTTATTATACCCTCACGCAAAGTGGCATCATCTCGAATAGACGACGTTTAACACCAGGTTGCAAGATATACATTATTCAATTTTACATACCTATATATCTCTGGATACACCTTCATGGTTAAATCAGTTGCTGCTGTTATGATGTTTTTATATGACAAGGGATATGATTATACAATTATTGAAGATATTTTAATGACTTTGTCTCGTCAGTTTCGGAGAATTAAAATTGTTTTGTGACATGTATTAACATAAGTACACAATCACACGTGTATTCAATTCCATACATGTGTACGTGTGTCAACAATTATAACATAAACAAGATAAGTATGCGGATATCCCAGACTTGTTGATTACAAATATGAATCTCGGGGACAGTTTAGCATCATTCTTGATACATCAGGGGTGACGGTCACTGTCGCTCTCAGCACTCCTGGAACACGACATGGCAAAATTGAAGGCACAAGAAGCGAAGTATTTTGATTGGTTCCAGGGAAAGAAACCTAACGAATCACAGGCCAATACGGCCCTTTTGAAGATTACAAAGGAGCGACACCAAGCTTCAAATCCATGACAATATACCGTTATGCGACCTCGATATTCGTTTGATGTATATCAAAGGATGAAACTAGTTTATTCGTCATATCCAAAAGGCCTCGCACATGAAACCTTCAAATTTGCCATGACATGGTCCAGGGGTGCAGAGAGAAAGTAATAGACATGAAGGATTTTGAAATTTGAATTTCCTGTACTATCTTAAATATGAATGTCTACCACGTGCTTCAATAAAACTAGGGCAAAATATGAACAAAAGAAATCTTTATACAGAGACTCCTTTCAATGTCATTTTAAGTATATCGGTAAATGCATATAGGTGTGCCCCGCTATGATTTCCCTTCCAAAATAAACAGAAAATGATAGAAAATTTACTGAATTTTTCACTGTTATATATTATGTAAACAATACACTATACACTTCAAATAACGATATGCACCAGACTAAAACTAAAGGGGACAGGTCAGTATTCCGAGTGCCAAGATAGTCAGGATACCGCTATCTACATATGTCATTGAATCATATTAGACAGAAATATGACATAATGAAAAATCGTGGTGAAATCCGTAATCAGCATGTCTATATAGACGATTTCAAGCTAGGCCAATAATTCATTCAAGAGGCAAATGGATTCTGATTTTATAAACATTTGTGGATCAAAACAGCGTGAAAGTAGGAAAGTTTGGACTAATTTCAATAATTCTATGATAAATGCTTATGAAAGTAATTTGACAAGACACAATAAAATACCTCTTTGAAACGGCAAAAGTTTCAATACCTGTTATAAACCTAATCTAATTCAAACTGGTTTGTAGACAACTTCATTTTGTATTCATTTGATAAATTTATGCACATACCTGATCGTATCTCAAACTTACCCATCACCGTGAACAATTTCATACTGTAAAAAGCGTCTGGAGCAATCATGATATCAGTTTTGAAAGGCCTTCATAACCACATATTCGATTTCTTATAGAGAAATATTTGCAAAGAGTAAAAGAGACTCAGGGAAGCAAAATGTGTTCAAAAGCCTTTTATAATAGTATTGTTGTGCCAGGATAACGTCAGCATGGAGTCCGAAAATGGGACTAAGAGCTGAAATCTGATCAGGATAAGAGAGAGACAAATATGAAAACTTAACCACAATGATTTCAAACTAAAATTTTAAACATCAGATCTTGGTTACTAATACCTTCCTTGATAAAGGAAAATGATATGTTAACACTGTAGATACTACATATAAGTTCAGGGTATAAGACACTATACATTGTATATGGAAATAATGAGAAATTCAGGTGCTTTTTCAGAGTTTTTAAAACTCTTGATGTATCTTGAATTGACTTTGCGTGTAAGGAAGGCACTTTTCCTTTTTGTATTTGTTTTTTGTACAATGTGAGTGGGAATAGTGTACGTCTTATGTGAGTGTAGGTAAATATGCAAGTGACAAAGGAAAGATTTCAAAGGGTTTGATTGGGAAAGTGTTACTGGGTATAAAAGATAGAAGATTCTGTGCTAAGGGTAACAGTGCTGCTGCTGCTGCTGCTGCTGCTGATGATGATGATAGCGGCTCATGAGTATACTAAATGTGAAGTATGGTGGTTTAATCTTACTTACCTTGTGAACTTCATAAGATATTAATCCTAAACGAATGTATGAATGTATTGCCTATGTTTCAATGAAAATGAAAAATAACTTTCTATCAAGAAAGCTTATAAATAAGGTAGTTAGATTTTATCTAACCGAACAAGGGGCACGGTTGTGTGTGCAGTGATCTAAAAAGGGGTCTTTTTCCATTGTTGCAGTGTTCCTCTCTCACATGTATTCATTTTTCAGCTTATCAGATTTTCTTGTAGATGGCGAAATGTAACCTATTATTTATTACGATATACGTCGTGAAAATACTTTATCTTTTGTTTTACTTACAGATAATTGTATAGTTGTCAACTATTTACGTTGGACGTGCATGTTTTATCGTGCTGTTATCTGATTTTTATTATACTCTTCCCATTCATTGCTGTCATGTGTTTCATTAATTTCCAAAACAGCTGTTTTCGATATATGCTGTATAATATATATATATAATATATATTTCACGAGGCCTTTATATCACGACATTAATAAGTGCCGATTCTTTTAAAAAAAAGAATTATTATCTATATTCATGCAGCAGATGAAATATTTTTGTTAGGGGAACAATAGAAAAAAAGGTGACATCTACTGGTACAAATATGTTTATATTACTGCCCTCATATAGAGTGAATATGTAAACATGTATCTATCGTCAGACAAACTGACATGCGCATTACATTCTTTTGAATTGAAGTGAATAAGAATGGATGGTTGGCGTACTTCCCCATCTGTTTTTTTAATTATTTCGATCAATTTTGGTTTTCTCAGTCAATTCATAGTTTTCAATTGTTTAAGCCTCTGCCATCAGTAATTACTAGAAGGGGGAAAATGCTGTATGATAAAGTTCAATTCAATATGGTGTATGACGTATTTAATGCTAAATGCTGAATTTGTATTGAACAAACTACACATAATCAGCATATGTATAAAAGTCCTACATATGATTAGTTACTCAAATACGGGAACAAGCACATAGAGTTCTTTTAAACATATACAACAAAAGGTGCGTCAAGTATTTACATCACCCAAATGACCACTGCAATACTGTTCAGTTTTACACAAAACAAAGTTGTATTCATTTGTGTAATTTGTTCTTTTTGCAAAAAAAATCACGAACGTTATTAAATTTGTATTGAATGCGGGAGCATTTATGTTTTTTTTCCCTTTTTCTAACAAACTTGATGTAAAGTGTATTTTTATCAGATCCCGTTTAGCTTGCAAGCATGAACAAATGTTTAAATCCGATACAAAAGAAAACTCATTGGAGTGTTGCTTTCCAACTTGTATTTTGTGTAATAGTACACCGTATAGAACTAGGTTCTGTGGTAAGACGTGGATAGAATCGTACAGTATTCGCCATAGTGACATGCTAAAGCATGGCCGTATTTTCATTGCAGGTAAATGATAGTATCGGATAAAGAGGAATATGATATAAAAATTGTTGTAAAGCCGATGCACTTATATCAGTTCAAATTTTGTTATGGCGGAGGGTTCAGTGTATGACGTAATAGTGGTAGGGGCTGGGATAATGGGATCGTTTACAGCCTACAACATCCGGAGGACGGGAAAGTCAACTCTTCTGCTGGAACAGGTAAGTAAGGCCTATTCTTACTATTGAATTAAATAATCGTCCTGTGATATATAAAGACAAAGCCTTAAAAGAGTGCAGTATCTGCTTGTATATACGTATCTATAACTACCAATACCGGAAAAGGTACCGGGCTTAAACAAGACATACCTAACACAAACAAAAAGTATGAGTCATTCTGCGTTTGTGAAAAATTTAAATTATATCGAACAAATGTTTTGTTGATTTATTACATATAACTTTTGCCTGCATTACTGCGTTGTCGTCTCACAATGGGTAGACAATGATTATGTACCCTATACGAAAGTACATTGTTAAATGTAGCTCCGGTACGCAACTCGACGTAATCAAATATAAATGGGAAACAGACACCGTTGTGGTAAAGGGAGGCAATTTCAACATACATCACTATTTTTCTACTCCTATGAGAATAGAGCAAAATATACCTTCGGTGCCTTTAATTGGTGAATTTGTTTGCGTGTGGTGAGCTAGTCTTATTGTGATACTTTCTGCTCGAGCACCCAAATATCAATGGTATGTTGTCGTTGTTGATTTGTTGTTGTTGTTTTTGTTGTTTTATACGATTTTCCGACCGGCTATTTGTGTAAGAATTGGAACTGACGTGTTTTATTTCATCCAAAGTTGAAAATATCAAAGCACTTTTCAAAGAAGATCACAAAAATCTTTCCATTCAATTTTAGGTTCAGATTTATTGTTGATATCTTGTCTATAGATTTATTGACCACGTCCCTCACGTATACTTACCAGAATTGGAAAATCCAGACCACACCAGACTCTTCTACATCAGCAACATATTTGGTCTTTTCCTACAACATCTAACATGGACTGTTTTCCGCCTAGCTCCATTTCAGGAGAGCAAAATCCCTGCATCCCCAACCTAATGTACAATTGTGGGATCGCACAACGTTCCAAAAATAGCGTGCGCACATCGTGCGTGTATCGTGCGATGTGCGATTCTCTGTGCGGTTTAGTTCGATCGGTTGATTGATATTGCGAAATTATAAAAAAAACGGAATGTATCGTATGAAATCGAAAACGAGGATGCATCATCTCGTATGCGGAAATGGATTTATGTGTTGAAACAGGAAGAAGGTTATAATTAGGAATACCTCGTCAAGAGAGAATATGTGCATTGTGTAACTCCAATAATAGAATACTGCTTTACTTATCGCAGTTCAATCAAAATGAAAATATTGCTTAGTATATTAAATGTTAATATCTTCACAAAAGTTTGTAGATTTGTGGATAAGATCGATAAATAAAATAATTACTGTATCAGCTAGGTTGAACTCCTTCTCAGTATGTTATATGTTGAAAAACTTTTATGTTGTACTTATCGTCACACGCCATTATAATGTAATTATATATGTATGTGTCAGAGCGACTGCCTAAATGCGAGATCTTGTTGAAAACATAACAAACAACTGGTGACAAAGTGATTTTTTATTCTTAAAAGAAAATTCAAGACCGATCAGTTTACCTTGGTCACGAAAACACATGAAGTATATTAATATCACAATCGTTCCGCAAATTTGAACTTTATTCATAACTAATTCCTAAATTTATATCAACCACTATAGCTATCGTTTGGATCGTCCATCGTGCGCACATTCGCCTGCACGATGCAATCGCACATCGTGCAGACTTCGTGCGCACATCGTGCAACGTTGTGCGATCCCACAACTGTATTTACATGTGGTAGTTGATTTAATAATCTCCAGATTTTCATGCAAGATATCAACTGACAGTCAAACTAATAACACATGGTTTCACGAGAACAAGATGATGAAAACGATCAGGAAGTGTGATGTTCGTCATGGTGATCTTATTGAGAAATATTTCTTTGTGTGATATGAAGTTGTACACTAGCTTGCATTTTGGTTCCATTGGTTCATACTTTATTCACGTTCAAAATGTATACCCTTAGCATCACTGACGAGTCCTATCGGGAAGAAACTGTATGATGCAGTTAAGATCATTGTTTGGCACTACTATATTTAATTTGTATTGAAAGTATTAATCGCTTTTGTGTCTTTTGTACAACTATCAGGTCTAGTAAAGTATCAATCATTATCTCACACAGTGTCAGAAATGCTCTTTAACACTAAAAATAATATATTGATAGGTCTGGATTGTCTATTTACAGTTTCCACTACCTCACAGTCGTGGAAGTTCCCATGGGCAGTCTAGGACCATTCGGAGTGCATATGGATCCCAAGAATATTATACAAAGATGATGACAAAGGCGTTCCGAATGTGGCGAGAACTCGAAGACCAGTCCTGTCAGATACTATTTAGGTGAGATTAATCTCCTTGACATCAACCTCCCCCATAAAAAAAGGCTGCATCATTGATAAATGCTCCTAAGCTACAACATTTATCAAAATGTGTCGATTTGCAAGAATCGTTCGTTAACTTGCAATGCAACGCTAATGCAACAAAAGAGGAGCGCACATCACCTGAAATGCAATCAATTTCATAATTTTTCAGTATGTAACGTTTTCAAAATAACCCCAAGTACATATTTATGTCCTGAAAAGATTTGAAAACAACCGTAGACAACGTGCAGAGCACTACATCAGACTCCTTGGCACTGCTGTGACATATAGATACAATAATCGCATGGACTCCGTCAGAGTCCTATATGCAGTAACAATAATAACATGACTTTATTCACATCTCAAATTAGCTAAATCGTAGCAAAGGACGGTGGCATTTCATTAAATCTAGCGGATATATCGTCATGATAGAAAATCAAATTGATATTTTACAGAAATATTTATATGCTTCCTCCCTCCATATTACGAAAATTGCAACTAGTTTCAACGAATATTATTTCTGGTGACCTGTGAAAACTATATAGAAATCCTCATCAAAACATCAATGACGTAACACAAATAAGGCTTTTCAAACCTGTCCTTCAGATTAGCTGCGATTCTCCAGCAAATCGTCAATTCATTTCAGATGAGATTGCACATAACGGAGTTGGTGCTATTAACATCAGCGGTATTTCTTATCGGAAATCTCTTCACGCTTCCCATCATGATTTCAATGCATTACATTTGTGATTTCCTACAGTTACTCTGAGCCTATTTCATCCTCTCTTTCCAACTACAAATAAACGATCCCGATGTGTACACAAAATTTACTGGTGTATGATTTTAATCAATTGTAAAAGGTGTGATTTCTGCCACATTATCAATAATTTTATGAAGTGTTCAAGCCAGTTTCAACACGTCACCTGAAGCAGTATTCGCTGCATCTTCTCGAAGTTTTCGTGGCAAGGAGAGAGGAAGCGAAAATAATATAGTTTGTATTAACTTGTTCCCAGTATCACGATTTTCGTTCAAGATGCCGTCATCTGACAGCTGAATACATAACACAGGAGTTCAATAGATGTAGATTAATGAAAAAGAACCTTTGATTTTCTTCATAGTGATTTTATTTAGATGTATTCTATTTCTGTGTGCGATTTGAACCTGGACGTTATTGATGCTCGTTAGTCTGCCTGTTGATTCCGTTGTTGTATACCTTGTTCACATTTGAGAACGTAACATAACTAACATAAATGTACTTGGATTTAACCAGATTTAAGCGGCGGGTGTCTTTAACGTTACGCTTACTCTCCTGGAACACCTGAATTTATTCTCCTTGTCCCTCTGTATTTTCATGTCGTTTTTTCAATATTTGCAACCTAGATAAATTCAAATCTTCTTTAAGTGTCTTGACCAACAAATAAGATGTTAAGTGAAATGAAATCTTCGGATAACAATGCCTTTGACCTATTTTGATGTAAAAGAAATATACAGCAATGCTTTAAAGGGATTAGAGACAGTTAGGGAAACTAATGCTGTGTGATTACTCTCGTGCGGAGTCACAAAGCATTAATCCAAACACACTTTTTCCTAGTTGTATTTATATAATTGCTTGTATGAGCATTATGTCCTATTAAAGGCGTGCTTTGCTCGAACGTTTAACAATAGTTTATCAAATATTATAGCATTTTAAACTGCTGTTGGTATAAACATTTGTAATGTCTGATATTACGGAAAGTAAGACTAGTTATCATTTTCAGGCAGACCGGGTTATTGTGTATTGGACAAAAAGGGGTCAACTACCTTGATGATACAGCAGACTGCCTTCAAAGACATAAAACTCCGTTCAGGAGATTGAATGACGCAGAACTACGGGAAACATACCCGATGTTGTCCTACCCGCCGGAAATAGGTGGCGCTGTCATTGACTACAGTGGGGGACTGTTGTTGTCTGGCAGAGCTCTTGCCGCTGTGCAGGTAAGACAAAACTTCTTCATACATGATTGAGTAAAAGCTATATGTTGCGAGCTTATATAACGAACTGTTATCTATTAGATCAACACCGATGGCAATTCTTGATACCTTTCTGTTAATGTTAGCCACTTTAGTTTTCGGCGTTATTCTTGTTCAGTTTTCCTTAGTTTTGGTTTTATCTACGTGTCAGTGTTCCGGTGGTGTTGGTTTTTATCTACGTGTCAGTGTTCCGGTGGTGTTGGTTTTTATCTACGTGTCAGTGTTCCTTTGGTGTTGGTTTTTATCAACTTGTCAGTGTTCCTGTGGTGTTGGTTTTTATCTACGTGTCAGTGTTCCTATGGTTGTGGTTTTATCAACTTGTCAGTGTTCCTGTGGTTGTGGTTTTATCAACTTGTCAGTGTTCCAGTGGTGTTGGTATTTATCAACTTGTCAGTGTTCCTATGGTTGTGGTTTTATCTACGTGTCAGTGTTCCTATGGTTGTGGTTTTATCTACGTGTCAGTGTTCCTATGGTTGTGGTTTTATCTACGTGTCAGTGTTCCAGTGGTGTTGGTTTTTATCAACTTGTCAGTGTTCCTATGGTTGTGGTTTTATCTACGTGTCAGTGTTCCTGTGGTGTTGGTTTTATCTACGTGTTAGTGTTCCAGTGGTGTTGGTTTTTATCTACGTGTCAGTGTTCCAGTGGTGTTGGTTTTATCTACGTGTCAGTGTTCCTATGGTTGTGGTTTTATCTACGTGTCAGTGTTCCAGTGGTGTTGGTTTTTATCAACTTGTCAGTGTTCCTATGGTTGTGGTTTTATCTACGTGTCAGTGTTCCTGTGGTGTTGGTTTTATCTACGTGTCAGTGTTCTTGTGGTGTTGGTTTTTATCTACGTGTCAGTGTTCCTTTGGTGTTGGTTTTTATCAACTTGTCAGTGTTCATGTGATGTTGGTTTTTATCTACGTGTCAGTGTTCCAGTGGTGTTGGTTTTTATCTACGTGTCAGTGTTCCTGTGGTGTTGGATTAATCTACGTGTCAGTGTTCCTGTGGTGTTGGTTTTATCAACTTGTCAGTGTTCTTGTGGTGTTGGTTTTTATCAACTTGTCAGTGTTCCTGTGGTGTTGGTTTTATCAACTTGTCAGGATCCTGTGGTGTTGGTTTTATCTACGTGTTCCAGTGGTGTTGGTTTTTATCAAATTGTCAGTGTTCCTATGGTTGTGGTTTTATCAACTTGTCAGTGTTCCAGTGGTGTTGGTTTTTATCAACTTGTCAGTGTTCCTATGGTTGTGGTTTTATCTACGTGTCAGTGTTCCTATGGTTGTGGTTTTATCTACGTGTCAGTGTTCCTATGGTTGTGGTTTTATCTACGTGTCAGTGTTCCAGTGGTGTTGGTTTTTATCAACTTGTCAGTGTTCCTATGGTTGTGGTTTTATCTACGTGTCAGTGTTCCTGTGGTGTTGGTTTTATCTACGTGTCAGTGTTCCAGTGGTGTTGGTTTTTATCTACGTGTCAGTGTTCCTTTGGTGTTGGTTTTGATCAACTTGTCAGTGTTCTTGTAGTGTTGGTTTTTATCTACGTGTCAGTGTTCCTGTGGTGTTGGTTTTTATCAACTTGTCAGTGTTCTTGTGGTGTTGGTTTTTATCAACTTGTCAGTGTTCTTGTGGTGTTGGTTTTTATCAACTTGTCAGTGTTCTTGTGGTGTTGGTTTTTATCAACTTGTCAGTGTTCCTGTGGTGTTGGTTTTTATCTACGTGTCAGTGTTCCTATGGTTGTGGTTTTATCTACGTGTCAGTGTTCCTATGGTTGTGGTTTTATCTACGTGTCAGTGTTCCTTTGGTGTTGGTTTTTATCAACTTGTCAGTGTTCCTGTGGTGTTGGTTTTTATCTACGTGTCAGTGTTCCTATGGTTGTGGTTTTATCTACGTGTCAGTGTTCCTATGGTTGTGGTTTTATCTACGTGTCAGTGTTCCTTTGGTGTTGGTTTTTATCAACTTGTCAGTGTTCCTGTGGTGTTGGTTTTTATCTACGTGTCAGTGTTCCAGTGGTGTTGGTTTTTATCTACGTGTCAGTGTTCCTGTGGTGTTGGATTAATCTACGTGTCAGTGTTCCTGTGGTGTTGGTTTTATCAACTTGTCAGTGTTCTTGTGGTGTTGGTTTTTATCAACTTGTCAGTGTTCCTGTGGTGTTGGTTTTATCAACTTGTCAGGGTTCCTGTGGTGTTGGTTTTTATCAACTTGTCAGTGTTCCTGTGGTGTTGGTTTTTATCAACTTGTCAGTGTTCCTGTGGTGTTGGTTTTTATCAACTTGTCAGTGTTCCTGTGGTGTTGGTTTTTATCAACTTGTCAGTGTTCCTGTGGTGTTGGTTTTTGATTTAACAAAGAAAAGTCACCATAAACTTATTTATATCATCGATTTCTTCAGATATTAGAAAACATACAAATGGAGAAAAACAAATCTGAACCTCTTAGCAGCTCTGTCTTCACAAATGTTGCGGCTTTGTTGCGAGAGTACCTATGAAGGACAAAAGGGTCACACACAATCCCTATTTTCTTATCAACTGGCACAATGTTCGATAGACCGCTAGATATATGAAAGATCATATTCTGGTTCCTTGCATAGCCTTCAGCCAACGTTTCATTAAAATTTTGTAGTTAAATTTTCTTTTTTAATCACACATCAATTGGCAGATGTCATCGATTAAGCAGAACATGCTTACTCTTCTGGAACACCTAGTCCCCGTGTTAATCTTACGTTTTGTTCATAGCTTTTCCTAGTTTTATTGCATTTGAGTTTGGAGGATGGTTCTGTCCACATGTTGGTATTTTCTTGTTGATATCGAATCGGTCAGATAAATGATAACAGACTATTAGTGGTTGTGTTTTAGGTTGTAAAACTAGATAGGCTATTGACATTGTCATTAAAAGTGGTTACTGCATCACGTGATAACATATATTACAAAAAAAAACTCACTTTTAAAAAGTACATAAGATTTGAAGTGACAATGATTGATTAAACGTAGAACCAATACCGGAAGTTAGGGGGTCTGATTCATGATGGAGAGAAAATGGTGGAGGTCATTCCAGGAGAGGTAATCATGGTAAAGACAGAGGCGGGACAATACCGGGCGAAGGCTGTTGTGTTATGTGTGGGGCCATGGGCCAACAACGTATTGACTAAACTGGGAATAGCTGTTCCTCTACAGGTAAACCATCTACCATATATGAATGATAACGATATACTTCTGGGTACACCACATTATACATTATGTACACCTGTATATACTGCCCGACTTTCTGTTGTTCTACCAGTGCAAATGTTGCACGTAATATATTGACTTAGCATGAACTCTGAAACTTTAACCTTAATATTCTTGTGAGTTAGTTTCATTTATTTATAAGTCAATATGATAAAAAATATTTGCATTACGATACAGTTGTGGTAATGCACATCGTGTATGCATCGTGCTCTCATCTTGCACACACACGCACGATACAATTTCGTGCGCACAAATGTGCGATAGGATTGCACATTTTTTGCGGTTTGGTAAAAATGGTTTGCTAATATTGCTGACTGAAAATGAAACGGAAAATTCGTGAAGTTATTACTAAAAAGTTATAACATTGAAACATCATTTTTAATTTGACGGTTTTGGAAATAACACTGGACCTGCATTAATTAGTCTGTTCGTAAACTAGTTTAACCGGTTTGGTTGCCCATGTAAAAAACACAGCACTAAAGATTAATCTGAGCATATATATTTTGTTTACAAAACAAAAGAAAAATGAGAGAAATACAAAAGTAATGAAAATAGAATTTTCTTTCTGTCATTTTAAATGATATTTTAAATGATTCATTGTTGTGACATATAGAAAAGTCCATATCATGTTTACATATATATTGTATATATAATGTGTGTCCGTACACTAAGGCTGGTCACATGTGGCTCTTTGTAAACAAAACACGTATGTATCATGCATTCAGTGTGTATCTGTTATACAAACAAGTGTCCTACCTATATATTAATAGCTTAATTAGGAATTATGCTTAGTTGTATTCTTATATATTTAGAAAATTAATGAATTCTTTCCCTTGTTTATAAGTCATTTCTAAATTTATATCAACCGCGATAGAATCGCACATTTGTGTGATAGAACCGCACAACGTGTGCACACATGTGCGATATTTTATTTCGTTCAGTTTTCCTATCGTGTGCACATCGCACATCGTGTAACGTTGTCCCATTCCTTAACTCTGTTTCTTCATGAATCGATGTACGATTTTAAATGATCACTCCGTATTTCAGGCGCAGAAAATAAGGGTGTGTTACTGGAAAGAGAAAACGCCCGGAACATTCAGCTCACGACAATTCCCCGTATTTTCACAAATCAATGCTATTGGTCCCCACCTTGTCTACGCGGTTCCAAGTGAGGAGTATCCAGGCTTAGTGAAGGTATGGCGTACCGGTAACAGATGTAGGTACAGTATACTGATGTCATCATATCGATAAGCTGTATTATCCAAAAGTATCATAACTCAATACCAAAATCAGTGACAAGATCGAAAAACAGGAGTACATAGGATGTGTATACAAGTATTTTGATAAAAACATAACGAGAATGAAAAAATGAGTTCTGGAAGGAACTCCGTCACCCTTCAATCGAATCTTTGTCAATTCAAATGATGCCACATTCTCAAAATCTCCAATGTTAAAACAAGGAAACAGCAAGAGGTAATAACGAGAGGCAGACACGTCTAGTTTCTAATAATAACGACAATAAAACTTCTCTTTTGTCAATATCAACCACCTGATTTTCATACCTTCTGTTCTACATGTTTAAGTCAGCTACCGACATTTACCGCTAGATTCTAGATACAGATAAGAAGCAATGGTGGTTTGAATTTAAAAAAATCATAGATGATATCTAATTCACAATGCTATCGCTTCTTAAATCATGAATTCACAAATAGCATTCCGCATCATTAACTTATGTCTTCAGTCACACTATTAGTATATGTGTCAGGTATTTGTGACATGCATGTCTACGTTCACACTATTGGTACATGTGTCAAATAGTTGTGACAGGTGTGTCTGCGTCCACGCTATTGATACATCCCAGCTAGCAGACATGCGTTGCAAAAACGTCTTAGATGGTTGCAAACGTTCCAGTTGCATTACAACGTTTCTATAACGTTCGTTTAATGTTGCATTGAAGTTTCTGATGATGAAAATGACACGTGTAATAAACGTTGTTTTTCAGCAAAAATCCCAGTCATTCAGTTTAATCATTAACGTTAATGAAACGTTTGTCCAACATGTAATCCTTAAGGATGGAAACTCGACGTTTTATGTTACAAATATAACGTTATTTTCAGACGTTGCTGAAACGCTTATTTCTCCAGGTAAAGTTGTTTTTTAACGTATCATATCAATATGATATGATCTTGTTTTAAGTGATTGGGATAAAACATTCACGAGCGTTGTTAAAACGTTTCTTTTTCGAAAAAAGAAATAATTGATCAACATCATAGTTAGGTTAACTTTACTGTCACTTCACGTTTTCTTACCAATTAACATATGTTCGTATTAGTTCTTTTATATCTGTAAGTCCACGTACGATCTAGGCATGGTTGTGGATAGAACTCTAAATAATTCCTTCAAATTAACTATTGTGTTGAATGACAAATGTGAGAGGGATGTAGTTCAGCCATATGCATTTTTACTCATCTTTTTCACTAATACAAAAAGTGGTTGCCAGTTAACTTATCCGGACTTAGGTACAAACTAATACAATGATTTACAATAATTTCCGGATTTCAGTTATCTCCCTTTGACCATTCATTTGTTCTCCATGCCCAGTACACATACAAATATAGAATCACAACACTATCATATACTTGTAATGTGGTCAATTGAGGTATATATGCTTAACCTTTCGACAAATCTTACATGAAATGAAACATTGAACAAAACTGTACCCACTCCCCCTCAAAAAAATGTTATTACATCATTATAACGATATCGCACAAGGGAGGTAACTCGCAGAGACGTTGACGCACTGATTTTTTCTGTTCCCGCTAATAAAACCGCTGTTTGGTCTCCCTGTAGGTAAGTGTTATTTAAAGCAGGGTTTGTAAAGCAATAACAGTTATATTTACATGTAGTAATCATTTCGTCATTATTTTGCATAGTTACATTATACTTGTAAAGCTTAAACATTGCGGTTTGTCTGAACCAAGTGTGTTGGGATCAGGCCTACCCAACCAGCGCTAACAGAGCGATGGTCGACTTTCTATTTTGACACTTTCCGGTGAAAATATGTCAGTGTCAAGTATGTTTATAGCTAAGTTGTTGCAGAGTTATTCATAGAGGTGTTTATTCAATTCTAATGCAGGAAATATGAAATAGAAACCATTAGAACAAGATTGAAATGGTTTTGATTTAGTCAAATTATTCTATATTCTACTACAAATTCTTCTAATGAAATCGTTATTATGGACCTCGTTCATTTTATTGAGATTTGCATCATTGCCTGGCTTGTTTTCTTTTGGTCCTGGATCAAATTGTATTTCAAGAGGTTACAACTAATGTTAGTTAGTGGTCATGTTACGTTTACTGTTAGTTACAATGATTGAATCAATATACTGTCCTAAAACTATGAAGTCAGTTAATTGGTATGATTATGGACTTGTGATTGAGTATAACAGACTAAGTGGTGATTGTGTTTGCCTATTGTATTTTAGAATTACAGAGATACATAGAAATAGATAGATTTATGATATAGAATTACACGGAGTTTCATAGAATGACATAACAGAGTTACAGAAAAGTCTCCGTCGTACAATTTTGCTGTATATGATAAACTTTTCTCTATTTTACACTAATTAACGATGTTATGAAATGAAAATGTGGTTAAATTAGTTACAGTTCAGTACAATTTATTCGAAGATTTCTAAAGTGTTTCTGTTTGATGACTGTCGTTGTATTGTATAATGAAGTACTGCGTAGATTGTGAAGCCTTATAACTAGTTTGTACTGTCTAAAGTGTTTCTGTTTGAAGGCTGTTTTTGTTTTGTATGATGAAGTACTGGGTAGATTGTGAAGCCTTAGAACTAGTTTGTACTGTCTAAAGTGTTTCTGTTTGAAGGCTGTTTTTGTATTTTATGATGCAGTACTGGATAGATTGTGAAGCCTTAGAACTAGTTTTTACTGTCTAAAGTGTTTCTGTTTGAAGGCTGTTTTTGTATTTTATGATGCAGTACTGGATAGATTGTGAAGCCTTAGAACTAGTTTGTACTGTCTAAAGTGTTTCTGTTTGAAGGCTGTTTTTGTATTTTATGATGCAGTACTGGATAGATTGTGAAGCCTTAGAACTAGTTTGTACTGTCTAAAGTGTTTCTGTTTGAAGGCTGTTTTTGTATTTTATGATGCAGTACTGGATAGATTGTGAAGCTTTAGAACTAGTTTGTACTGCACATTATACTTATATCAGTGATCACCTGATCTCTGATCAGCAGTATTCAATAATTTACTAGGGTGTGATTAAATTGATTACTCTGTAAATTGCCTATCACAGGTATCACTGTGACTTCTCTGTTCCCGCTAATAACAAGTATCAATTTAGATGCTGTTTGGTCTCCTAGTAGGTTGACTTATGTGGTACATCACCCGAAGATCTCAAGGGGGTGGGGGTAACAAAAGCAACAAAAATCACCTATATACGATCGTGATATCCCTTTATATGCACTGGTGTTTATAAAATATACCCTAGCAAATGATAAAACGTTGTCTGGAAAAAGAACATTGATACATTATACACTAATTAATATGATAGTGTGTAGGAACATATATTCTTATCATGACAAATTAAGTGCTGATAAATAATTGTGTCATTTATTAATTTCAGATTTCAATTTTTGGTGTAAATAGGTGGTCATATCATATTACACATTTCTTCCTTTGATATTAACTCGGAAACTGGCAAGTCGAGTAGTAAATGATTGAACTAACCGGAACCGTGCTATAAAAAAGGGGAAGGGGGGGGGGGGGATGGTTAAGATATCCATTTACAAAATGATATTGAGATAAGAAGTCAGGTTTCAGATAGTGATTTCAGTGAGGAAATGTCAGAAAGCCCGGAAACCTAGGTGTCAGAAACAGATGATACTGATGATGACGACGATGATAGTCAAAACAATTTCTTGGATTCTTGAAAGTGTTACTGCTGCATGTCACAGTAACAAATTACTTGAATTATTAAAACCCTATTTCCCGACTTTACCAAAGGATGCGAGAATATTACTAGCCACTCAAACCTCATATAATATTTTGGAGATATCTGGTTGAAAATATTTCCATTTCGAAATTAAAATATTCCTGGAGAGAAAATTAAAGCATTCCCCTGTAATGTTGTTAATATCAGACATATTTCTACAATTGAATATTGATCGACTCCCACTTTTTAAGAGTAGCAATGACCAATTTTGGCCAATACTTGGTATTGTAAACGAGTTTTTGGGGAAATAACCCTTTACCGTTGGTTTTTGGTTAGGCACATCAAAACCAGATTCATATCCGAAATGAAAGATATTGAGGACACTGGAGTAACACTAGATGATAGAGTAACCAGAGTGAAAATTTTGAATGTTTTGTGCGACACTCCAACAAGGGCATTTGTTAAGATGGTCAAAGGTCACAGTGGTTATTACGGTTGTGATAAATGTACACAATCCGGCACATACAACAATCATTATATGACGTTCCCAGATTGCAATGTGCCAGTGCGAACAGATGTAATGTTCGATGAAATGAAGTTCCCCATAAAGATACTTCTTCTTTGCGAGAACTTGATCTTGGTTTGGTTACTTGATTCCCTCTAGATTACCTGCATCTTGCCTGTCTAGGTGTAGTGAAACGATTGTTGTTGTTATGGATCAGTGGGCCTCTTCCAACACGACTAATGGGTAGAACAGTACAACTAATCTCGGACGTCCTTATTCAACTAAGATCTTCATTTCCTTGTGAATTTGTAAAAAAAGGTAGAGGTTTATCAGAAATAGATAGGCAACTAAATTTAGAATGTTTATCTTATATGTTAGAACAGTCGCTCTGAAGGATAAACTACAGGATTCAGTTTACAACCATTTCATTATTCTTCACGTTGCCATAACAATATTATGCAGCGACAATTTGTGTTCTGATTACTGTGATTACGCTGAACGATTGCTTGTTCGTTTGGTACAACAGTCTGCCAAGATTTACGGAAGTCATTTTTTAGTTTACAATGCACTCGCGCTGATACATTTGCCATGTGATGTAAGGAAATTTGGCAATCTACAATCTTTTTCAAGCTTTCCGTTTGAAAATTGCCTTCAGACAATAAAACGGTTGATTAAAAAGCCGAATTTCTCGTTTGAACAGATGATTCGAAGAACTATAGAGAAATCTTCCTT